TTTTTTTTTTTTTTTTTCCACGAAGAATTCCACCTCCCCCTTCCAAACCCTGATAAATTGTTAACATTCAATAACTATTTTAAAGCGCGCTGCCTGGCGCCGGGGAGCGCTGGCACTGGCTGATAACGCCGGTGTTTGCCGGGATTTTCCCTGCCCAGTGGCTTGTGTCAATACCTCGGGTCCCAAATGCTCCTGCGGTGGCCAGAGCCAGAGCAGTTGGGGGCAGGAGGAGGCGGCCGGAGCCCCCAACCCGCCTCCTTGGCTGGGTTTCCTTGGGCTGCAGAGGCTGTTCAGGGGGTCTGACCCCCCAAGGCACCCCCAGCCGCCAGAGCCGGAGCAGTTGGGGGCAGGAGGAGGCAGCTGGAGCCCCCAACCCGCCTCCTCGGCTGGGTTTCCTTGGGCTGCGGAGGCTGTTCGGGGGGTCTGACCCCCCAAGGCACCCCCAGCCCTTTGGGGCTGGTGCTGGCGGCCAGTTGGGGGCAGGAGGAGGCGGCCGGAGCCCCCAACCCGCCTCCTTGGCTGGGTTTCCTTGGGCTGCAGAGGCTGTTCAGGGGGTCTGACCCCCCAAGGCACCCCCAGCCCTTTGGGGCTGCTGCTGGCGGCTGCTTGGCCCATCCCTAGGTAAAAAAGCTGGCGCTTTGGGCAAAGGGAGCGAAGGGTCTCGCTGGAAGGGGACAGGCGGTGGCCGGAGCTCCGACGGCCCGAGTGCGTGGGGAGGATGAGTAGCGGCTCATTACTCACTACGATTATTACTCAGTGTTTTTAACAGCTCACGCTCTTGGGCAGGCGCCTGGTGGGAGAAGGAGGCACTCGTTCAGGCGGCAGGTTGGGGACGGCTCCGCACGGGGCGGCGGGAGAGGAACCGGGTGAGCTCGGGGGCACGGAGGTAGGGCTGCTCCCCGGGGAGAAGAGGAGGTGTTTTGGGGATGGCATCACCCTGTCCACACCCTGGTCCTTCCTCTTCTCCCAGAGCATCCGCCGCCAGCGGCTCCGCGGCCGGCCCGCGGCCGTGCTGGGGTTGTGCAATGAGCTGGGCAGGGATCGCGCCGGCCGGGCCCAGCGGGACCGTTAAGGACTGTTGGAGTCAGGACCCCCATCCCCGGCGCCTGCGGAGTCACAGATGTGTCGCGGGGGTGGGACGGGGCTGGGGGGGACGGGGCTCGCTCACATCCACGCTGCTGGAAGCAGTTGGCCAGGGACTGGGGCTGGGGCTTTGGCTCTGGCGTCCCCCTCGGACGTGTCTTGGCGGAGCTCCCCGCTCCCAGCGTGGCGGGGAGGAGGACAGTCGGAGGGATGAAGGCCACGGAGGGCACATCCCCGGGGCACCCTGAGCCGGGATGGGGCTCTGCTGGGTTTCCCTGGGCCAGAACCTGGCTCCGATGCCTCCTGGCAGGGAGCGGTGCCCTGGCAGGGGAAGGGGACGGGGACCCGAGGGGACGGGTGGGCTGGAGAGCCCGGCGTGAGAGCTGGCAGGGACGAGAGCGAATTGCAGCGTTGGCCGTGGAAGCCGGGGGATTTCTCCCCAAACGGCTGCTCTGAAAACAGCTGTTGGTGGAAAGAGATCTGCCACGGGCGGGAGGTAACCCCTTCGGCTCCGGGAAACCTTCCCTGTTTGCCTGTGTGCCCTATAGATCCTATAGGGGATGGGGAGGGGCAGGGTTTGCAGCAGGGTCTACCTGGCTGGGGGTGCAGGGTGACACGGACAACAACAGATTTTGGTGTGGATAATGTGGGATTTGGGGCAGCAAAGCCTTGGAGTGAGGCCCTGCGGGTCTGGGGGTGCCGGGTGGGGTCCCGGGGGTACTGGGGGGGTGTTTGGGGCAGAAGATGTAGAAAGAAGGGAGAGAGGTGGGGGAAGTTTGCTGGCATTCACACAGGGGAGAAGTGGCCTTTCGGAGTCCGAGCAAAACAGAAATTTTTTTCCTGTCCCACAGAACTTGTCAAGATTTTAGGATTGTTTTTCATCAGAGCAAAGTTAAAGAAAAATCAGAAAATTCTGGGAACTGCCACACTGTGGTGACCCAGCTTGGGCCGAGGGGGTTTTTGTTTCAAAAATTTTGTGGCATTTTGATCTTGATAGGGGTTTCCTCTTCGCAGCACGGAGCAAGTGCGGGAAGAGGAGAGGAGCAGAAATCTCCCTTTCTCTGCCCGGCCTTTGAAAATTTCTCCCCCCCGTGTTCTGGGAAATTTTGCTGCATTCGATTCTGCTTCGCCAGCGCTTTTCACTCTCCACACATCAGCGCTTTCGTGCGGGGAAAACATAACCCTGTCCGTCAGCGCCGGGTCACTCCAGCCCGAGGAGGGGTCTGCAGGGACCTGCCCCACGGCTCGGGGGCATCAGCGCATCCCGGGGTGGGGGGGATGCTGGAGGAGCATGGTCCGCGCTGGGTGGTGGGATGCGGGGGCACCTCTCGCCCTGCCCTGACTCTGCTTTCCTCCTCCGCAGCTCGGAGGGGCTGAGGGCCCGGCGGAGACCCCCCCCGGCCCCGGGGTCCCCATGGAGTGGGAGTTGCGGAGCCCAGTCGCCGAGCAGTAGCCGCAGCAGTGGGATGTTTACCTGGCGGTGCCTCATCCTTTGGGCTGTGCTGGTCGCAGCCGCGCTCTCAGCCGCCCGGCCGGCCCCCACCCTGCCCGACCAAGGTAAGAGCCCCCCACCATCACCCCCTCCTCCCGCACGGGTCTCTCCTGACCATCCCACAGCCCGTCACCATGGCGGGAGAGCCAGAGCCTGGCACGAGGTCTGGGCACATCCCGGTGCCAGGCTGGTGGCTAGTGCCGGTGGGGATGTGGCACGTGTTGCCCACTGAGAGTGATTCTCCGGGGCAGGGGTTCCAGCAGTGCCCGTGGATATGTTAAACCTGGAGGGAAATGGTGGCAAACCCCCAGGCTGTTGGTGTGGAGGAGGGTACAGAGCCCCAGGGGCTGTGTCCCCACCGTGGAGGGGTCACTCCGTGTGGTGGCACTCCATTCCCTGTGACCATCTGCAGCCCGAAGCCTCAGAATGGCCCGGCTTGGAAGGACCTTTCAGACCATCAAGACCAACCATCTCCCACCCTGCTGGGCACTGGGGTGATCCCGGCTTGGCAGTGGGGACAAGGATTTGGGTGCAGGGTACCAGCAGGCAGTGTGTGGGATGAGTGCACCCCACGGAGACCCCCGGGATGCTCCGGTGCCACTCCTGGCTGGGGAATGCCCACGGGGCTGGCTTCAAAGCCCTGGTCTCTACGTTGCTGGGGACAGAGGGCACAGCCCCAGAGGAGGGCATCCCCCTCGCTTTCCATCGCTGCATCCCCCTATAAAAGCCTTGCAGGGGCTTGTGGCCCGTGATGGGTTGGGGGGGGGTTGCCCCAGCCGCAGCCCTGGGGTGCTCCAGAGCCCGGGGGCACCCCAGGAGGTGGGGGACGGGCTGCGTGGGTCACCCAGCCCTGGTGACAGCCCCCATGGAAAGCACCCTCTGGCATTCCCCAGCCTTGGCCTTCCCCTCGGTGCGGTGGAGAATAAACAGAGCCGGCAGCGCCGCGCAGGGCTCACTGCCTTTTGGTTTTAATTACCCAAGAATGTCTGGGCTGTGGGGTACTGCTTTTCTTTTTAAGGCTCGTTCCCCCTTCCCTCTCCCTCCCGCCCCGGCCCCGGGAGGCCAATTGCCGGCGTGGGCACAGCGTGGTGCCCCCGTGAAGAGCCACGGTCCCCGTGCCCACCGTCCCTTCGTGGATCAGGGGTCAGGACGGGGCAGGAGCTGGCACCGATGAGTAAATCGTGCTGAGGCTGGTGTCCCTGGCCTCGGGGGGGTCACAACTGGGTGATCCCGGCTGGAAGGATGCTGTGGTGCTGGGGTCCGAGCAGAGGGTGCCCCGGTGACAGCCATGTCCCGTGAGGTGGCTGGGGCTGTGCGTGGTCCCCGGGGAGCTGCGGGCTCCAGAAGAAGGCCGGGCAGAGCATCGCTCGCGGGGATCATTCGCGGAGATTTTTCCACTGGCGTGTGTCCTCCCCGCTCTGTAAATAACGCGGCTGACGGCCGTAAACATGTTTTTCTCGGGAGATTGCTCTTCCTGGAAGAGGTTTCCTGGTGGTGTGTGGGGTGAGGATGGCTCTCGTGCCGCCGGGCGAGCGGCGCTGGCAGCACCAGCTGTCGTGTTGGGATGTTCAGGCAGAGGGTTAACTCCAGGAAAGGTGGTTTTTTGGGGGTGCTTAGGGGGTCTGCAACCCCCGGAGGGCCTGGGGAGCAGCCTCAGGCGGCGGTGGAGGAGGAGGAGAGGTTGGAGAGGAGGGAGCTGGTTCCTCGCCAGCCTCATGCCAGGGCTAACAATAACCTCTGGAAACATTTCCCGACACGGTTCTCACCAGGGCAGCCCAATTAGTGCCACAGCAGGAGCCCGGCGGGGGCAGAGTCCGGCCCTTGGCTCCGGGGCCGGCTGGTGGGAACACAATGTTCCCGGCAGGACGTGCGGGATGGGAAGAACCCTTCCTGGGCCAGGACCCGCGGCCGGGACCGTGCCACCAGGCTCCAGGTCCGGTCCCCGGGGTGTTTGGGGTCCCTCAGGGTGTGTTGGGGGTCTCAGCTCCCGTGGGGCATCATGCCCCCGGGGCTGGGCTCACTCTCCTTCCCCTGCATCTCGGGAGCATCGTCCTGGGGGTGGTGGTGGCCGCGCTCGGGTCCCCTCCGCGACGGAGGCAGCAGCTTTCCCGGACTTTGTTCTGGATGTTTATGGGGTTTCAGTTTACTCCCGGTTCTGAGGCAGATAAGCTCCCTTCTCAGGGAGGCCGTAATCCCCCGCGCCCGGCCCGCGGCCCCGGCCTCCCCGCATTCCCAACCCGCCTGCCCTCGTGGCGTGGGGAGGGGGCTCGGGAGCCCTGCCTTTGTCGGGGGCTCGCTCCCGTCACTGAAAAATCTGCAGCAAATAAAATATTAACGGGCACTTACAGCATTTTATAGTTACCTAAATTTGGAGGTGGTAAAAAAACCCCTAGTTAAGGGGAAAAGCCAAGAAATTTCCATGAGCAGCCTCCGTCGCCTCCCGCACAAAGCCCGTCTTTGTCTCCAGGTTAAATAGAAACCTGCAGAAAATTGCCGAGGGGATTTTTTTTTTTTTTTCCCCTCTCTCCTTGTCTGCTATTGTCCTCGCTGCTGTTCAGGCATTTCCAGCGCTCGGGGTCTGCCTCATCCCTGCCTGGGGGGTGCTGGGGGTGCAAAGCAGCCCAGCTGGCTTTTGTGGGGAGCGGGGCACTGCCTTGGGGGGTTCCTGCCTTGGGCAGCTCTTTTTGGGGCACACTGAGCCCCAACGGCCGCCCCAGTGCAGCAGGTACTTTCCCAGAGGGTGCATCTGCCCTGCAGAGGGGGGGTTGGCAGAGGAGCCTGGGGCTGCAGCCCCTTCCCCGTGTGGCCGAGCCCCCTTTGGGGCAGGGGGCTGCCCCATTTCCCGGCCGCCCAGCTGGCCACAGGCTTAACCTCCCCCCGGCCCATCTGTGGGGCCAGCGGGGGCCCTGGCTCCCGGGGCTTTGTTGTGCCTGGCTCCTCCGGGGGGGGTCTTGCTTTGCACCCAACGGGAGCCAAAAGTCCAGGGTTTGGGGAGGGGGTGCTCAGCTCTCAGGACCTCTGTGGGCATGGGGCTGTGCTGCTGCCACATCCTCTTCTCCCCAAAGCTCAGCGCTGGCAGGAATGTGGCACGTGAGCCCGGGGGGCTACAGTCTGTCCCCCCTCCCCAGCACCAAAGATCTTTGGGGGTCCTTGACTTGGCTGTAGCCTGGGACATGCTGTCACCAGCCACAGCATCCCCAGAGGTGGCACCACGAGGGTCCTTGGCTTGTCCCTGCTGCTCCCGGGGTGGACTGCTGTCCCCCCATCCCCAATTCCCTGATCTCCAGCCCCCTCTCCAGCTTTTGCAGCTCTCGGGGTCTCCCCACCCCTTGCCCCCAGGATTCCCAGGGGACTGGGTTTGGAGGAGCTGATTCCTCACTGGAACCCTGTGAGCCCCCCGGCCACGCTGTGCAGCCCTTCTCCCAGCCCAGCATCATCACTGGAGCTTGGGGGGGCCCAGCAGCCCCCACTCCCACCTCCGAGCCCCCTGCTCCCCCAGACCCCGACTCCTGCAGGGGCTGGGTCCCCGGGGCATCGCCTCATCCTCTGGGGCATCGTGCTGCTGCCTTCCCCTCCCAGGCTGTTGAGCGGGCATTGTTCCCTCCTCCCGCCTTCCCACTCGGATGCTGTCACTCCGGCCCTTAATTGAGGAGGAAAAAAAGAAATATGAGTCTTTGGGAGCAGCAGCGGCGCTTTGCCGCAGCCCGGGCTGCAGGGCTGCCCCACGGCCAGCGGAGCCAGGCGAGGGGGTGCTGGGGGGTCGTCCTCCGGGGCATGGCGCTGCCGCCTTCCCCTCCCAGGCTGTTGAGCGGGCATTGTTCCCTCCTCCCGCCTTCCCACTCGGATGCTGTCACTCCGGCCCTTAATTGAGGAGGAAAAAAAGAAATATGAGTCTTTGGGAGCAGCAGCGGCGCTTTGCCGCAGCCCGGGCTGCAGGGCTGCCCCACGGCCAGCGGAGCCAGGCGAGGGGGTGCTGGGGGGTGTCCCTGGGGCTGGGGGTGGGCTGGCTGTCCAGCCCCCCCCCCACCTGCAACAGCCCCGGGGCTGCTCAGGAGAGGTGTTTTGGGCAGTGAGCCAGGGCCCAGGCAAAGCCAGTGGTTACTGCACAAAGCCATAGGTGCCTGTGTGTATTGGGGTGTTCACTTGTGCCCCCCAGAATGAGCAGGACCCCCCTGGGCCATTCCCCACCTGGGGGGAGCTGGTGGGTGAGTGTCTGTGCCCCCAGGGCTCAGCTCGGCTGCAGAGCCCCGAGCGTGGCCAGGGGTGTCCCGGGGGGAAAGGGGTGGATTTGTTCTGACAGCTTTGCAAACTACCAACACGCCTGGTAATTAAATGTTGCTTCAGTTGATGAGCGGGAGGGCGGGGGGCAGCACGTAAATCCCCCTCTCCCCGCTGGAGGAAGCATCCAGGGACCCGAGGGTGCAGAGAAGCCCAATGCCCCCCCAGGCTGGCTTGGTCAGGAGGAGCCAGGGGTGCCTTGAGCCCCCCAGGAAGACCCATGGGTGCCCTGAGCCCCCATCCTTCCCTGCTGGCATCTCCCTGCTGCAGCCTTTCCCCGGGAAAAGAGGAGCCAGGGATGTGCATCGCCCCGGGAGCAGCGGGGATGCAGGGATGCTGCTGGGGGGGACCCCCTCGGGTCACCCCCCCCCCCGGCACAGCCCGGGCTGGGAGGGGGTCAGCAGGGAAAGGAGCTTTTTAAATAAGAAAGAAGCCAATCCCCGCGTCCTGGTAAACGCTTCCTGTTGGGATTAGCGGGGCTGCCGGGCATGTGTGTGCTTTTTCTTCAGGAAATACCTTCGGAAAGCCCCGCTGGGGTCTCCAGGGCAACCGGCGCCCCCGGCCCCGCGCCCCCCGCCCGCATTGTCCCCGCGCCGCTTTGTTGGCCGCTTTATTGCCACCGCCGTGGCCGGCACAGCCCCCGGCTCCCGCGCTCGGGGGGCCGCTCGCCGGGCTGCTCCGCTGCGGGGACAGTTGGGGGGACGGGGGGGACAAGGTTAATCTGTGCCCTCCTCTCCCCAGGGCGGCCGCCCCGTGTCCCCGCCATCCCCGGGGGAGCGGGTGACAGCTATACGTGCTCGGTGACACTCTCCATCTGGCCGGGGCTGGGCTCTGCTCTCGGGTCCATTTCAAAGCTGGAGTGAAGCAATAAACCCTGGGCGGGCCGTGCTGGAGCGTGCTGCTCCGTTTCGGGCTCGTTTGGAAGCGCAGGCGCCATGGGCCGGGGTTGGGGCTGCCCCTCGTCTCCCCACGGGCTCCTGTCCCCCCTGCCCCACGAGGGGCTCTGCCCTGTGGCATCCCCCCCGGGAAGCAGGAGAGGTTAGGTTAAAAAGGAAGCAGCAGATGGTTTAGATGTGGCAGATCTAATGTGTGTATTTTGCTTTCTCTCTCTATTCTGCTCGCCCTCCTCCTCCTCCTCGCCCCGTTTGGCTCGAAGGGGGCTGTGAGCATCCCTGCAGCCAGGCTGGGGACAGGAATCCCCCCACCTCAGGGGCTGCCCGGTGCCCCCCCCGGGCCATGGTGCAATGCTGGGAGCACCCAGAGCCTGGGGGGGCAGGGGGGGGCTGGGGGAGGAGAGCCAAGCGTTTGTCTGGCTGGTTAAACTCTGGCTGAGGTGGCCGCCTCGGGGCTCGCTCGTGCCCCGGGGGAGAGGGGCTGCACCTGGAGCCCTGGTTTAGGTTACAGAAAGGCAGAACCTATGAAAGAGGCGTTTCAGGCTGATGGAGACCTGTGATCAGATGGGCTGGCGCTAATTAACATACGCGGAGGGCACGCAGGTAACGAGGCTGGCACCACTGGCTGCTTCTGGGGAGGGGGAGCCCAGGACCACGCTGCCATCCCTGCTTTTATGGAGCAGCTGCGTTTCCAAGGGGACTCCTGTGCATCGACTGTGGTGGGCACTGGGCTGCCCCGGTGCCATCCCGGTGGCCACGGTGCCATCTGCCTGCCAGGGGCACCCCATGGCACCGTCAGACCCCCGGGCTCCTTGGCTCGGTGGCCTGAAGGAGCGGTGGCACTTGCCTGGGGACCTGCCTGAGGCTGGGATGCTGCCTTCCTGAGCCCCAGTGATCGGCTGGGGGTGGCTTGAAGTTTTCCATCCATCCAAATTCTTCCCCTACCCCCCGGCCACCCCCTCCCCAGTCTGCAGGTCCAGTGTTTGCTGAGTGTGGGGCTGGCAGGAGCTTCCCTTCCCTGTGCCAGCACGGTCCTTTGGGGGCAAGCTCAAGGGCAGGTGGTCCCTGGGGCAGGCTGGGTGAGAAGGTGACTTCTACGAGAGCTTCATGGACCACAGCAGTGTTTTTCTGGTTAGAGCTGGTCCTTTACTGTCCCAGCATTGGTTCAGCTGGGGCACGGTGGGACCCTGTAGGTCTGGCAGTGCCCACCGTGGCCATGGGGCACCGGACCCTGGACCCGTGCATGGCTCCTGGTGTGCTGGCATGGCCTGGGACAGGCAACGGGGACATCAGGGGACATTTGTGGGCAGTGGGTGTCCTTGGCAGCTCCGGGCACCTTCTGCAGGTTGTTCTGTGCGATAAGGAATGTTTGTCGGGGGGGGAGGAGGGGGGGAGGCAGAGCTGAGTGTCCCGGGGGCACGGACGGAGCCAGATAAGGGCAGATACGGCTGCGGCTCCGCGTCTCGTGATGGTTTGGGTGTTCGTGGCTGTTTGTCGCTCCCTGACCTTGCTCTGAGAAGGAACCAGGACGGACAGGAGGACACCGTGTCACCGCGTCCAGGGTGGACAGACACACAGCGAGGGGACGGGAGGCGGCTGGAGGACGCCTGTGGCCAATCACTTGAAACACAAATCACAGAAGTTCCCCATCCTGCGAGAGGAAAACAGGGAAAACAGGATTGCAAGAGCAAGATCCTTTAAGGGACACCCCCTACTCTTCATATTCCACGTGGAAGCGCTTTGTAACCTCTCACTGCTGGATCTGGAGCCCTGGATTTTGGTCTTCTCACACCTGAGGAAGGTGAATTCTTCCCCAGCACTGTTTCCCTTCAAGCAAAGGAAGGAGGAGGAGCTTGGGAGCTGCTCGGGGATGTTTTCCCCATGAAGCTTCTCATTGGTACGAGGAAAAGAAAAGGGGCCAGGAAGCGCAGCGCAGATCACACCGGAGGGAACGAGAGTTTCTGAAGAGCTGTTTTTTGGAGAGTTTTGGCTCTGTTCTGGGGGTGTCTTGGGGGAGTTTGGTGACAGCAGGGACCCTGTGCTTTTGGATGAGCTGCTCCGTGGCTACTGGGGGTGCGCAGAGGAGGGGGAATGCCTGGCTCGGTGGGCACCAAGGAGAGGGTGATGGCGTGTGTTAGTGCTGTGGGGAGGCAGCCCCTCTAATGTGCACTGGGATGCCGTGGGCGTTGGTAATTAGCTCCTGGTTTGCAAATTGCCCCTCTCCTCGCTGGGAGCCACGTGGGTCCCAAGGGAGAGCTGTGGCTTTGCTCTTGCCCCCGTGGCCATGGTGTGGTGCCTGCGGGCTGCGTGCCCACCTCCCTCCTTGGAGGAAACAGCCCTCGGGACACGGACCAGCTGAAGTTAGAACACTTCTGGGCTGTTTCTGCTGGGCTGCCTGCGCAGGGCTTGGTGGGATTTCCCAGACCCCTTGGATATGGAGCAGTTGCCCCTGGAGACCTTCAGCCGTGCCCCCATGGCACCATCGGCTCTTGCCCTCATCCCACCTGAAGCTTCCTGGCTACCAGCTCGGAGGAGCAGTGGAAACACAGTGATTCCTTCCCAGCTCTGGCCCTGGGGAGCAGCATCCACAGCATCACCATGTGCCTCTCCCAAACACCCTGTGCTGCTCCTGGACTCGATGCCGTCCACGCCGGCCCGTGCTGCTCGTTCCCCAGACGATGCTCACGCTGCATCCGCTCTGTACCATCACAGGGAGCCCCAGCGCCCGCAGATCTGCCGCAGCCAGCCCCCCCCCTGGGGCTGTGGGATGCAAAGAAGACACCCCGTGCTGCTCCCGGACCCGATGCCGTCCACGCCAGCCCGTGCTGCTCATTCCCCAGACGATGCTCACGCTGCATCCGCTCTGTACCATCACAGGGAGCCCCAGCGCCCGCAGATCTGCCGCAGCCAGCCCCCCCCCTGGGGCTGTGGGATGCAAAGAGATGGTTTGAAACCCAGCCGCCTGCCCCAAGCCCAGGGGAGCACCACCGGCGCTCAGGGACGGAGCCGTGCCTGCCCTGCCAGGGCCAGGAGGGACAAGATCACATAGCAGCAGGATGGAGAGAAAGGATCTTTGTGCTGCTGACACAAATGTGGCATCGGGAGCAGCTGCGGCGCTCCCTGCCCGGGGTGGCTGCCACCGGGGACGCCGACGACAGCACCTGTTTCGCCGGAGCTCCCCTGGGCTGACCTTTCCCAGCAACGCAGCCCCTCGCAGCCCCTCGCAGCCCTGCCTGCTCTCCTGCCGCAGCCCCTCGTCCCCCTGGCACCTGCCCCATTGCTCTCTAACCAGGGCAAGGCACGGGGACCCTGCCCCGCTTCACTGGCTGCCCGCTCCTGGTGGTGGGGATCTGTGGGGTGGCCGAGCCGCGCAGGGATTTGGGATGCTCCTGGCTTGGGTAGGACCCGGCCGCCCCAACTGGCGCTGCCTGGGATGTCTCAAATGGCCCGTTTCTCCCCCATTTCAATGCTCCCACTGGGCCAAGGGGTGCCTTAGTGCTTTGGGACTCCCCGGGCACTGAGGGGGTCCTGCCGCGGGGGTGAAGTGCTTGGTGCTGCTTGGGGTGCTCGCAGCCTCTGCCCCCCCTCCCTCCGCTCCGCCGGGTCCCCTGCCCTGATCCTGGTGCCACCGCGGCACCGTCCCGGCAGCGCATGTCGCCTCATTAACACCGAGCCGCGGCAGCAGCAGCAGCAGCAGCATGGTTTCCTTTGGTCTCTATTCCTTTTCTCCTTCTTCTTTTTTTTTTCTTTCTTCTTCTCTCTCCTAACTCCTCCAGTTCTGCCCAAAGCAAAAATCGAAGTGGAGTCCTACTCGGCCCACCCCGGGGACCTCCTCCAGCTGCGCTGCCGGCTGAGGGATGACGTCCAGAGCATCAACTGGGTGCGCGACGGCGTCCAGCTGGCCGAGAACAACCGGACGCGCATTACCGGGGAGGAGGTAGAGGTCAGGGACGCGGTGCCCGAGGACTCGGGGCTCTATGCCTGCATGACCAACAGCCCCTCGGGGAGCGAGACCACCTACTTCTCCGTGAACGTCTCAGGTTCGTAGCAGGGAAGGGGCAGCCCCGGGGCCGGGCTGCGGAGGAAGGAGCGTGCTGCCCCTGCGCCCCTCTGCATGCTGCCGGCACGCGTACGTCTGTCCGGCTGCTCGGGGAGATGGGGACAGACGGAGGAGGAACCGGCGCGGTGCAGGGAGGAGCAGCCGGAGGTTGTCGCCTGTTTGTCTGCAGGGGGGCCGGGGGGCTGTGGGGCTGCCCCTGGGCATGAGCCCAGGTCCACATTGGAGTTGATGGAGCATGAGGTTGGAGAACGAGGTCTGGAGGTGTCCACCAAGGCTTGGGGTGTTTCTGTGCCCTCAGGGTCTCAGCTGCCACCCCAGGTGGGTTGGTGGCACCAGCCCATGCTTGGACACGCGGCATGGAGCTCTGAATCACCTCGGGGGGCACGATGGCCACTGGCTGTGGGCACCAGGACAGCAGGCACTGTCAGCCCTGGCTGTGCCTGTGGGCACACACAGCGTTCACCCGGGACCCCCGCACCTCCCCACTGCCACCCCACCACACACAGTCCTGTGCCACCAGCCCACGATGCTCTGGTCCCTGCTGGTGCCCCTCAGGAAGGGAAGGGTCCATGCACGGATGTTCAGCCGGGCCCTCTTGTCTCTTGCAGACGCGCTCCCCTCCGCAGAGGATGATGACGATGAAGATGATTCCTCCTCAGAGGAGAAGGAGGCGGATAACACCAAGCCAAACCGTACGTGGGAGATGGGTTTGCCCCTGGGGTTGCCCTGGGTTTTGGCGGGGGGTGAGGGGGGGCTGCACACAGACCATCACCCCAGGGATGGGGAAAGCTGGGTGAGGGTGGGCAGGGGTCCTGTGGCCGCCCAGGGCACCTGGGGGTGGTGGGGGCTCATTGCGGGGAGTGGGTCTGGGTGCTGAGCCCCCCCCTTGCTGTGCTCCCCAGAGGCCATCGCTCCCTACTGGACCTATCCCGAGAAGATGGAGAAGAAGCTCCACGCCGTCCCCGCCGCCAAAACGGTGAAATTCAAGTGCCCGTCCAGCGGGACCCCCAACCCCACGCTGCGCTGGCTGAAGAACGGCAAGGAGTTCAAACCCGACCACCGCATCGGGGGGTACAAGGTACCGGGGCCGGGGTGGGGAGTCGCTCGGGGGGGCAGCCCCTGGCCCTGGCTGCGCGGAGGCTGCTCTGGGCTCCATCTGTCCCAGGCTCTGCCGCACCTCGAGGGGCCGAGGGCTCGCTCCGGGGAGGAGGAGGATCGGGAAGGGGCTCTGCAGCTTAAGAGGCACCGAGCCCCCTGCCCGTGCGGCCCCCGGCGGGGGCAGATGGGCCCCTCTGACGTTCCCGTTGCAGAATAGCCCTATGGCAGTGACCTGCTTCTGGGTCATGTTTGCACCGGCTCAACCCCTGGGGGAGGGGGACAGCCTGCCTTCGCCGGCTTGGACTAATCCCCCCGCTGAGGAGAGGGGGTCTCGGCGTCCCCGGCCAGCGCGGGGGCTCCCGGGGGTGGCTGGGCAGCCCTGGGGGCTGCAGGGCTGGACGAGCCCCTCCGTGTCCCAGCGGTGGTCGGCGGGAGCTGTGCCAGCAGCCTGGGGGTACTGGGAGGTGGGGAGGGGGTCCTGGCCTGTGTTTGGGGGCCACCTTGGCTCCTGGAGCTGCAGCGCTGCTCCCCCAGCACCCACAGCGGGTCCAGGCTGCAGGGTCCCCCCAAGAGGGATGGGGGCTCAGCTTTCCCCTTCTCAGGGGCTCCAGTGACACTGGGGGTGCTGATGATGATGCAGAGGAGCCCCAGTGGTGGGACCAGTGTGCCAGGACCCCCTGAGCTTCTCCCCCCTCAAAGGAGAGGGTGGGCCACGCTTCTTCAGCATCCAGGGCTGAGGCAGCCCCAGCCCTGAGGGCCCCCGGGTGACCCTACAAGGGAGCACCGTCCCCGTTTTTCATCTCTCTCAGACAGTTTTCTGGTGTGGAGCTGCAGCCTGCCCCAGGCTGACACCCCTGGGGTTGGGGAGGGGGAGATGAGACCCCCACCCGGTGTGGGTCCCCCCATGCCAGCCCAGCCGGGTGCTGTGGGGGCTTTGGGTACCATGGTGGCCCTGGGTGCCAGGGACACACAGCAGGAATGTGGCCACATCACAGCCCCGTGTAGCACATCCCAGGGAGGGACATGGGCTCACGGGTAGGGAGGAGAAGGGATGCTGGCAGTGCTGTGGCTCCCCAAACGGTGACAGCACGGTGCCCTGGATAGGTAATGGGGCTGAAATGCTGTGGAAATAACCAGTTTCCAGCTGGGAGGGAGGAATGCAGCCCCCGGGCAGGGAGCAGGGCTCAGGGAGGTCTCCAGGAGGAGCTGAAGGCAGAGCCAGCAGCAGAGCAGGGTGTAGAAACCCATCCCCATGGCTAGGAGGGACCTGGGGCGGCCACAGCCCAGCAGAGCCCCCAGGACCTCTCCCAGAGGACACACACCTGGGCAGCAGCACCCACGGAGGTGTCCCGGGGGCACGGTGTGACTGGCACGGTACCCTCTCTCTGCTGGGGCTGGCCACGGGTGCGAGCCCAGGGCTGGGGGGCAGCGGCTCCGGCCGCGCTGCGGGGGAACAATGCCGGTCTGTTCCTCACACGCGCTGGGGCTGCCCGAGAGGGGTGTCCCCCCCCGGGCCGGGCCGGCCCGTCACCCTCAGCTCACAACATCTGCTTCTCGGCGCAGTTGGCTCCGTGGCCAGGCTGTCCTGGGACAGCTGGGAGCAATTACGGTCCCTCCATAGGGAAGGGGAAAGGTGACCTCAAAGGGAGATTTACGTCCCGGTCGGCGGGGGCCGGGGGCTGAGCCAGCTCTGACGTGGCCGGGAAGGAGGGTTGGTGGGCTCCAGTCCACCAGCGCGTGGCACGTAACGGGGTCTGTCATCCCCCCCCTCCGTGTCCCCAGGTCCGCTACGCGACCTGGAGCATCATCATGGACTCGGTGGTGCCATCTGATAAGGGCAACTACACCTGCATCGTGGAGAACAAGTACGGGAGCATCAACCACACCTACCAGCTGGACGTCGTGGGTGAGGAGCGTGGGGCTGGGAGGGTTGGCCCCGGGCCCCCCTGCTGCCCCCCCAGCAGAAAGGGGTGCTGCACCCTGCGAAACGGGGATGGGGAGTACCCATGGGGACGGGCTTCTTGTCCCCGTAACTGTGTCCCCCCCAGCAAACACCTCTGGGGCACAGCGGGTCCCCGAGCCGGCCAGGGGGAAGGTTCATCTCAACCCGTTCTGGGGGATTTTTAATTGTGGTGGAAATAATTTCATAGACCAGACAGAAACTTTTTCTAATCGCCTTATTAGCCATAATTCCCAGCTGGGAAGGCTGGTCTGAGCAGTTCCACATGTGGAGCTGCTCTAAATGCCAGTAAATGAACCATTAAAAATGTGATTTAATTTGATTACACTGAGCAAACTGAAGGGAACAGTCAGCGAGGTGAACAAAGGGGTTTGTTAATGCTGACTCACCACAGTGGCAGCCGCTTTGTTAACGGCCGGGGCCCTCGTTAGGTTTGTTTGACCTCTGACCCCGCCGAATAGGTACTGGTGTCCCCATCCCTGCGCTGCCATGTCACCTGTCCCCGTCCCCTCCTGGCTCCTCTCCCCCCACAGTGTGGGGGTCCCCTGGGGAAGGGGACACCTTGGGTCTGCTGAGAACATCACTGCCCACCCCAGTCGGTGGTGGGGGGGTGCAGGGTGGGTGGCAGAGCACCCCGAGCCCTCCATAAGGCACCCCCTCTCCCCGGGTCCTGCAGAGCGGTCCCCGCACCGGCCCATCCTGCAGGCAGGGCTCCCTGCCAACAAGACGGTGGCCCTGGGCAGCAACGTGGAGTTCGTCTGCAAGGTCTACAGCGACCCCCAGCCCCACATCCAGTGGCTGAAGCACATCGAGGTGAACGGCAGCAAGATCGGCCCCGACAACCTGCCCTACGTGCAGATCCTGAAGGTAAAGCCGCACTCCGAGCTGCCCCACACGTGTCCCCACAGCCCTGCCCATCCCGTGGGGCACGGGCAGCTGCGTGGGATGGTGGCCACGGGCGAGAGGAGCTGCCTGGGGCTGGGGACCACCATCCGGAGCCCCAGAGCCATCACCAGCCTGTCTGGCTGCCGGGGTGCCCGGAGGAGCCCAGGGTGAGAGGTGGGCAGGGAGGGCTCCCCAGCCACGTCCAGGCAGTGCCGTCCCTAAAGGCTGATGCCGTGGGGCTGGGGGTAGCCCAGGGGGGTGAGCACGGTGCTGGAGGGGGGTGACCAGCCCCTGTTCTGTCCCGACGAGAGCAGCTCACCTTGCACCCCAGTGGTCTCGCTCACAGCCAGCAAAGGGGCTGCTGTGCCAACCCCGGGGGGCTCAGCTGTCCCAAACAGTGTCCCCAACATCCACAGCCATCCCCAGCTGTGCCCTTGACATTCCCAGCCATCCCCAGCCCTGTCCCAAATCCTGGGGTGCGCAGCCATCCCCAGCAACATTCCTGATGTCCCCAGCCATGTCTCCAACCCTGGGATACACAGGTGTCCCCAACCCTGGGATGCACAGCCATCCCTAGCAACGTTCCTGATGTCCCCAGCCATCTCCAGCCATGTCTCCAACCCTGGGATACACAGCCATCCCCAGCCATGCCCCCAATGTCCCCAGGTGTGTCCCCAACCCTGGGATGTGCAGCCAACCCCAGGTGTGTTCCTGACACTGGGGTGCACAGCAATCCTCAGCCATGTCACCGACATCCCCAGCGATCCTCAGCTGTGTCCCTAGTCGTGGGGTGCACATCCCATCCCCAGCCATGCCCCCCAGTGTCCCCAGCTGTGTCCCCAATCCTGGGGTGCGCAGCCATCTCCAGGTGTGTCCCCAATCCTGGGATGCTTAGCCATCCCCCCAGTGTCCCCAGGTGTGTCCCCAATCCTGGGGTGCACGTTCATCCCTAGCCCTGCCCCTGGCTGGCTCCCAGGAGCAGCAGGATTACAGCCCCGTGACTGTCTGCCTCCCCCTCCTGTGCCCCTCCATGCACATCCCCAGCCCTCTGGGGTACCGAGGGGTACCCAGCGGGTACCGGGGGGGTCCAGCAGCCCCCCCCGCGCTGGCAGAGCCGGTGCCGGTGCTCCGGGCGCTGCCGTTTGTGACCGCGTCGGTGTGACTCCATGTTGTTGGTCTGTTCCAGCACTCGGGGATTAATAGCTCTGACGCGGAGGTGCTGACCCTGTATAATGTGACAGAGGCGGAGAGCGGGGAGTATGTTTGTAAGGTTTCCAATTATATTGGCGAGGCCAACCAGTCTGCGTGGCTCACTGTCACCAGGCCTCTGGCGAAAGGTAATGGGAAGAACGCCCGGCGGGGTGTTTCCTCGCCCCGTCACTCCCCGGCGGGGGAAAACAAAACTCTGGGCTCTCTTGTTTCTGCTGTGTTTCTGGTGCGACAAAGCCATGGAAAAATGCTCAGCGGGGCCGGCTGGGCTTTGTGCTCTGTGTGTGTCCCCCCGTGTTTGTCCCGTGTGGATTCCCACCCCGTCACGCAGACACTCTGGGGGTGCTGCCATCGGGCCACCCCGCGCCTCTGCGCCCCGGCTGGGGACCCCACGGTGCTGTGTCCCCTGTCTGTGCCACCCTCCCGTCTCCGTCCTCCTGTCGCCGTCCTCCCACCGTCGTCCTTGTGCCCCCCCGTGCCCCACACGCCCGCCGGCCGGCTCTGCCTGAGGTCCATTTCTCCATGCAGCCCATTGCCAGCATGTTCCGATGGGCAGGAGACTCCGTTTGGTGAAGGGTTTTTAACCAGCCTCTCCGTAGGTCCGCCCGGATGAGTGGTCATCCCGAGGGTCTCTCTAGCAGGGCTGCCGTGGGCTCTGTCTGCTCCCCCGGGGTCTGCCAAATGAGACTGGGCTCTCCCTCCTCTCTGGCCTCCTTCCCAGAAGATCTCATGGCGTTTGCTTCTCCGTTTTTTGCTTCCATTTTTCCCTCTAGACGGCTGGCGTTAACACAACAGACAAAGAAATGGAAGTCCTTCACTTAAGGAATGTCTCATTTGAGGATGCTGGGGAGTATACATGTTTGGCGGGTAATTCTATTGGGATCTCCCATCACTCTGCATGGTTGACAGTTCTCGAAGGTATATACTCCTCTTCCTCTCCCTTTCCTCCCTCCTTTCCAACGTATGCATTGCAGTCCGGGAGAGAGCGATTCCCAGTCCCTGTCCCCTCCCCGGAGCTGGGTACCATGGCAGCAGGAGAGCTGGGGGGCATCCCCCCCTCTGCCTGTCCCCCCTCTGCCCCCCGATTGGGGTCTGTCCCCCCTCTGCCCCCCCATTGGGGTCTGTCCCCTGCTCTCTCCCTGGCCCAGGCAATGCATACCCAGGGGAATTTAACCAGGGGCTGCTCCTCTGGAGCAGGACGGTCCCTCGCTCCAGGGCAAGGCCAGCGCTGCCCGCACAGGGGGGGCACGGAGCGGGCAGGGGGAGCTCGGGGGGTGCTGGCAGCCTTGCCTGTGCCCTGCCTGTCGGGGGGCTGGCCTTGCCCTGCGGCACAGGACCCGTGCCGGGGCTGTGTGTTGCTTCTGCTGCGCTGCCGGGGGCTCTGCCCCCATCCCCATTGATGCCCCCCCCTCGCAGCCATCCCCAGGTGTGTCCCCAACCCTGGGATGTGCAGCCAACCCCAGGTGTGTTCCTGACACTGGGGTGCACAGCAATCCTCAGCCATGTCACCGACATCCCCAGCGATCCTCAGCTGTGTCCCTAGTCGTGGGGTGCACATCCCATCCCCAGCCATGCCCCCCAGTGTCCCCAGCTGTGTCCCCAATCCTGGGGTGAGCAGCCATCCCCTCAATGTCCCCAGGTGTGTCCCCAATCCTGGGGTGCGCAGCCATCCCCCCAATGTCCCCAGCTGTGTCCCCAATCCTGGGGTGCACGTTCATCCCTAGCCCTGCCCCTGGCTGTCTCCCAGGAGCAGCAGGATTTCAGCCCCGTTGATGCCGTGGGGCTGGGGGTAGCCCAGGGGGGTGAGCACGGTGCTGGAGGGGGGTGACCAGCCCCTGTTCTGTCCCGACGAGAGCAGCTCACCTTGCACCCCAGTGGTCTCGCTCACAGCCAGCAAAGGGGCTGCTGTGCCAACCCCGGGGGGCTCAGCTGTCCCAAACAGTGTCCCCAACATCCACAGCCATCCCCAGCTGTGCCCTTGACATTCCCAGCCATCCCCAGCCCTGTCCCAAATCCTGGGGTGCGCAGCCATCCCCAGCAACATTCCTGATGTCCCCAGCCATGTCTCCAACCCTGGGATACACAGCCATCCCCAGCCATGCCCCCAATGTCCCCAGGTGTGTCCCCAACCCTGGGATGTGCGCAGCCATCCCCAGGTGTGTCCCCAATCCTGGGGTGCACAGCCATCCCCAGCCATGCCCCCAATGTCCCCAGGTGTGTCCCCAACCCTGGGATGTGCAGCCATCCCCAGCTGTGTCCCTGACACTGGGGTGCACAGCAATCCTCAGCCATGTCACTGACATCCCCAGCGATCCTCAGCTGTGTCCCCAATCCTGGGGTGAGCAGTCCAGGTGTGTCCCCAATCCTGGGATGCTTAGCCATCCCCCCAGTGTCCCCAGGTGTGTCCCCAATCCTGGGGTGCGCAGCCATCCCCCCAATGTCCCCAGCTGTGTCCCCAATCCTGGGGTGCACGTTCATCCCTAGCCCTGCCCCTGGCTGGCTCCCAGGAGCAGCAGGATTACAGCCCCGTGACTGTCTGCCTCCCCCTCCTGTGCCCCTCCATGCACATCCCCAGCCCTCTGGGGTACCGAGGGGTACCCAGCGGGTACCGGGGGGGTCCAGCAGCCCCCCCCGCGCTGGCAGAGCCGGTGCCGGTGCTCCGGGCGCTGCCGTTTGTGACCGCGTCGGTGTGACTCCATGTTGTTGGTCTGTTCCAGCACTCGGGGATTAATAGCTCTGACGCGGAGGTGCTGACCCTGTATAATGTGACAGAGGCGGAGAGCGGGGAGTATGTTTGTAAGGTTTCCAATTATATTGGCGAGGCCAACCAGTCTGCGTGGCTCACTGTCACCAGGCCTCTGGCGAAAGGTAATGGGAAGAACGCCCGGCGGGGTGTTTCCTCGCCCCGTCACTCCCCGGCGGGGGAAAACAAAACTCTGGGCTCTCTTGTTTCTGCTGTGTTTCTGGTGCGACAAAGCCATGGAAAAATGCTCAGCGGGGCCGGCTGGGCTTTGTGCTCTGTGTGTGTCCCCCCGTGTTTGTCCCGTGTGGATTCCCACCCCGTCACGCAGACACTCTGGGGGTGCTGCCATCGGGCCACCCCGCGCCTCTGCGCCCCGGCTGGGGACCCCACGGTGCTGTGTCCCCTGTCTGTGCCACCCTCCCGTCTCCGTCCTCCTGTCGCCGTCCTCCCACCGTCGTCCTTGTGCCCCCCCGTGCCCCACACGCCCGCCGGCCGGCTCTGCCTGAGGTCCATTTCTCCATGCAGCCCATTGCCAGCATGTTCCGATGGGCAGGAGACTCCGTTTGGTGAAGGGTTTTTAACCAGCCTCTCCGTAGGTCCGCCCGGATGAGTGGTCATCCCGAGGGTCTCTCTAGCAGGGCTGCCGTGGGCTCTGTCTGCTCCCCCGGGGTCTGCCAAATGAGACTGGGCTCTCCCTCCTCTCTGGCCTCCTTCCCAGAAGATCTCATGGCGTTTGCTTCTCCGTTTTTTGCTTCCATTTTTCCCTCTAGACGGCTGGCGTTAACACGACAGACAAAGAAATGGAAGTCCTTCACTTAAGGAATGTCTCATTTGAGGATGCTGGGGAGTATACATGTTTGGCGGGTAATTCTATTGGGATCTCCCATCACTCTGCATGGTTGACAGTTCTCGAAGGTATATACTCCTCTTCCTCTCCCTTTCCTCCCTCCTTTCCAACGTATGCATTGCAGTCCGGGAGAGAGCGATTCCCAGTCCCTGTCCCCTCCCCGGAGCTGGGTACCATGGCAGCAGGAGAGCTGGGGGGCATCCCCCCCTCTGCCTGTCCCCCCTCGGCCCCCCAATTGGGGTCTGTCCCCCCTCTGCCCCCCCATTGGGGTCTGTCCCCTGCTCTCTCCCTGGCCCAGGCAATGCATACCCAGGGGAATTTAACCAGGGGCTGCTCCTCTGGAGCAGGACGGTCCCTCGCTCCAGGGCAAGGCCAGCGCTGCCCGCACAGGGGGGGCACGGAGCGGGCAGGGGGAGCTCGGGGGGTGCTGGCAGCCTTGCCTGTGCCCTGCCTGTCGGGGGGCTGGCCTTGCCCTGCGGCACAGGACCCGTGCCGGGGCTGTGTGTTGCTTCTGCTGCGCTGCCGGGGGCTCTGCCCCCATCCCCATTGATGCCCCCCCCTCCTCGGGCATCAATGCTGCAGGGACCGAAGGCTGATAACAGCAACCGGGGAAGTTTTTGGGGTGCTGCTGCATGGGTGCTGCTTTCCAGCCAAAAAACTTGTCCCCGTTATCAGCCGCTGCGTGGTCCAGCCGGGTGTGCTCGGAGGTGGGACAGGAACTTCGACTCCCTCTTACACCTCTCTCTGAGGCTCTGTTCTCCTGGGGGGGGTCAGGTTAGGGGGTGCAATGGCAGCTCCCACCCTGATGCCAGGTTCACCAGGGCTTGTGGCCACACTGGACGGTGCCACATGGCTGCAGCTGCTCTGAGCTGTTCAGGGCAATGCCACCTCCTCTGCCACCGGCGGCCACCAAAGCGGGGTCTGCCCCACGGCACGGTGGGGATGGGACCCCCCTCCCCGCCAGCCCGGGGGTCCCATGGCAGGTTGCTGCTGCTGGTCGATGCTTCTGGCTGCTCTGCCCCGAGCTCTCCCCGGTCATTACCAGTGACGCCTGGACTCCTGCAGCCCCGGGCACTGATCGATGGCCCCCTCCATGCCCAGGGCAACCCCCAGACCCCAAAGGACTCACAGCTGCGAGTGTGGTCTGAGCACAGCAGCCAGGGAGGGGACCCATCCCTGGGGGTGTCCCGATGCCCCCTCCCTGTGGGGTGATGCAGGGGAGCATCCCCAGTGAACCCCCACAGGAGAGCTCTGCTCTGTCCCACACGGCCCCAGCAGGGACACGGACACTGTCCCCCCCCCTCACCCCTTCCTCAGTTGACCCCATCCCACCCCATCCTGTGCCTGTGGATGCATTGCACGGCCATGGGGCTGAGGAGCCAGGGGGTGCCCACACACCGTCCCTGCCACCAAGGCCACCAGCGATGCAGAGCGTGTCCTCAGCTCTGCTCCTCAGCCCCGGGTGCTAATGCCTTCTTCACGCTGACCCAGCTATTGAAGACACCCCGGCCATGATGACGTCCCCCCTCTACCTGGAGATCATCATTTACTGCACCGGGGCCTTCCTCATCTCCTGCATGGTGGTGACCGTCATCATCTACAAGATGAAGAGCACCACCAAGAAGACGGACTTCAACAGCCAGCTGGCCGTGCACAAGCTGGCCAAGAGCATCCCCCTGCGCAGACAGGTAACAGAAAGTAGAGAGGGGGTTTGTTTGCACCTACTGCCCCCCCGGGGGACCTGCCCTTCCTGGGGAGGTGGGGGGAGGATCTGGAGGAGGATGGATGGGGGGAGACCCAGGAACATGCTGCTCTGCTGCACGTGCCACCCCCTCCAGCCTTGTGCCCATCCATGGTGTGGGGTGGGGACCGTCCATGGGCTGGGACCCCAACTGGGAGCATGGTGAGCAGAAAGGGGGGCTGCAGAGCCCCCCCACGCCCCCCACACAGCAGGGGTGATGAGGAGAACCAGAAGGATTTACAGCAATTCGGTGCTCGAGCAGAAGAGCGTGTTTTACAGACTGAGGAGCCGGGAGGAGCCCCGGGCTGTGCGTCGGGTGGTATCAGCGTGCTGGAAATTAATTAAAAATCACTCAGTCCGGGTCCAAGGTGGAACAGTGCTGGGGGGGGGTGTCCCTGCCC